CCCCAAAGCCCCAGTAGATAGTTGTATGTCATAGCTGCACATCCTTCTAGTTGCTGTATGTGGGACTCAGCCTCAGGATGGACGGAGAAGTGGTGCCTCGGTGCGCGCCCGGGATCCAAACCCGGGCCACCAGCATCGGAGCGCGCGCACTTAACCACCAAGCCACGGGGCCGGCCCCATCCATATACTTCTTAGTGAAGTGTCTGTTACAACCTTTTTGCTCACTTTTTAAATTGGGTTGTTTATTTTCTTATTATTATAGAGTTTTCAGGGTTCTTTACATATTCTAGATACAAGGCTTTTATCAAGTCTGTGATTTGCAAATATTTTCTCCCAGTCTCTGGCTTGTCTTTTGATTAAGAGCTCAATATTTTGAAGTTTAAAAAAAAATTTCAGGGCCCAGCCTGGTGGTGTAGTGGTTAAGTTCGCGCGCTCTGCTTCGGTGGTTCAGGGTTTGTGGGTTTGGCTCCTGGGTGCAGACCCACGCACCACTCATCAAGCCATATATAAAGTAGAGGAAGATTGGCACAGATGTTAGCTCAGCAACAATATTCCTCAGCCAGAAAAAACAAAAAAAACAAAATTCAAAATAGAGAAGTTTAGGAAGATAGTCTATTAAAGTCAAACCCCTGGGGCTGGCCCAGTGGCGCAAGCGGTTAAGTGCGTGCGCTCCGCTGCGGCAGCCCGGGTTCGCCAGTTCGGATCCCAGGCGCGCACCAACGCACTGCTTGGCAAGCCATGCTGTGGCGGCGTCCCATATAAAGTAGAGGAACATGGGCACGGATGTTAGCCCAGGGCCAGTCTTCCTCAGGAAAAAAAGAGGAGGATTGGCAGATGTTAGCACAGGGCTGATCTCCTCACAAAAAATAAATAAATAAATAAATAAAATAATAAAGTCAAATCACTGAAAAAAGTCTAAAACATTTTCATGAAAGCATACCAAAAAGTATTTTTTAATATGTAAAGTAATATTTATGTAATAATTTAAAGGGTAGAGTGGTGGCAACATTTTTCTTTTATAAAGGAAGGTACTACAAGATAACCTTGAACATGGTGATTTCACTAATATTAATGAAAGCTGTTCTTTAATGTGGTGTCTTTTCCTTGATGTCTCAGAGCTGCAGTAATGCTTCAGAGCTGGATGCTAGGAACTGAACCCACTCCGTCTCCACCAAAAGAAAGCAGATTTGAATAAAGGAAGAGAAACTGAAGGTTAGTAAAGTGACTTGCTATGAACCTGACTTAACAGCAGGAGATATAGACCATCGTGAGACAAACAGATGAGAGTTCAGGTGAGAAGCAATACCCTAAAGCTTTGTTCTACCCTAGACCTTTCCATCCACCAGACAAGCATATTTTAAAAGTGACATGTCTGACACACTTCCATTTGTGTCCCTGTTCTCATTCCAGCTTCCCATTGCTGGGAAAATTAAGGTCCAATCTCAGGACCTTTACCCCCAGGGCATGAGGCATAGAAGCTGCTAATGAATGACGAATTTATTGAGTGCTCTCCTCTAATCTCCCTGTGCTCAAGTTTTACTAGTCTACAAGGCCCAACTCCCAGCCCTCACAATGTCTTCCACAATTCTCAAACAGGGACGTCATCTGTTCTTTCTCTGAACTCCAGTCATTGGACAACATCTCCTCCATTAGATGCTTGTCACCACATCTCTTTTTTAAAAACTTTTCTCCTTTATTCCTTATAAATAGTTACTTACGTATTTTATCTTCTTTTCTACATTCCTTGGAAGCAGGGCTTATATTTGATTTAGCTTTCTGGCTCCATAGTGACTAGCATTGCTTAACCTTTCATGGGAAGTCAATAATTACTTATTTAATGAAAAAAAATTAATGAATTAGAAAAGAAGAAATCTTTGAGTCCTCACAGCATTGGAATTTTTTTTCTCTTAAAGATAAATGAGGGGTGCTGGCCGGCCCCGTGGCTTAGCGGTTAAGTGCGTGCGCTCCGCTGCTGGCGGCCCGGGTTCAGATCCCAGGCACGCACCGACACACTGCTTCTCCGGCCATGCTGAGGCCGAGTCCCACATACAGCAACTAGAAGGATGTGCAGCTATGACATACAACTATCTAATGGGGCTTTGGGGGGAAAATAAATAAATAAATAAAATTATTAAAAAAAAAAGATAAATGGGGGTATGTAATGAATTTAGTATGGAATGCCAATTTTTAATAATTTAGAAATGTGATAGACATCTCTATTAAAAAATAAATTAAATAATCTCTTTTTCATTATAGTGGGATCCAACTGGATCATAACTTTCTAGACACCAAGATATTTTCATTTTCTTCTATCATATTTTTCCTGTTTTATCTGCCTTTATCTTTATTTTTTCCAGCTTTATTGAGATATAATTGACATATAACATTGTGTAAGTTTAAGGTATACAATGTGTTGATTTGATACGCTTATAAATTGCAAATGATTAATTTCCAAAATGATAACTACCATAGTGTTAGCTAACAGCTCCATCACTCACATAATTACCATTTCTTTTTTGTGGTGATGTCTTTATCTTTAGACGCCATCTAAAGTAAACTCTGAGTGCTATTTCCCAAAGCACCCCTAATCATGGTTAATGTAAACAGCCATTGCTATAAGAATGGTGGCAGCATATGCAACAATATAAATGTACTTCATTCACTATGAAAAATAGCACATAATTTTTTATTTCTGCATTTTGAAAGGAAAAAATCTGATTAGTCTAAACAGAAATCAGGTGGGACAATATTCAAAATTTGAAAACCTGAAAATGGAAATTCTCTATTTTTGTAGGTGAACAATACTGCCACTATGCCAGTGAGTGACCATTTTAATAAGCCAATCTTTTGAAGGTTGATAATTTCTTAAACTTGTTAATAAAATGATGTTGTGTATAAAAATGATAGCAAAGCAACAAAAGGTCTTTCTTACCAAGAAATCGAGCTCTTCATTTAGATTGTGGTACTTATCCAGTTTGGATCCCAGTAAGATAGGTACATCTCTGACCTTCTTGGCTTCATTTGAATCAAAGTCTGTAACCTGAGATTAAATATATCTGTGCTCACTTCCAATACTTTCACACTCCTTGGAACATTGGACAATAGATACTTTATTAGTTTAACAATCAAAGACATCTTCAATGGCTAGAATAACAGAAGTGTAGAACTTACAGCTAGAAAGATTTCAACAAATTTACCAAAAGAACATAAATATCTGAAATTGTATTTTTGTATGTTAAAGCCAGTACACAGTAATTGTGAAACTCACCTGATGAAGCTGATCTTGAAATGCTTTTTCATTAGCAATTAACTCTCTAAAAGTTGTGATTTTGTCTTTATGTTTCAGTAGCTAGAAAGAAAAAGTATTTTATATTTCAGAGAAGGGTAGGAAATAAAACTACATTTTTATAGTTTTTTATATATACAGTTATAATAAAATCATCTAACCATGCACAGTCCGATCTCTGGTCTCCAAAAGATCTACTTTTTTTATAGCTCTTGTGTAGAAAAGATCAGGCAGCCCGAGACTGCTCTCCTTGAAGAGGCCTCCTAGCCAGGCTGCCTGCCGACTGGCATCTGGGAATCTGGACAGTGGGAGGGTTTCCATCATTCCCTGATATGAACAGCTCACTGTGTCATTTGCACAAAGAATGTGGTTTATGCTAAACACTTCTTTCCTTCTGGAGGGTCTGGTATTTTGGTACGTGTTAGGCAGAAGGTGGCAATGTGAACGGCCCCCAATAAAAATCCCGGGCACTGAATCTCTAATGAGTTTCCTTGGTGGATGACATTTCACACCCGTTGTCACAAGTCATTGTGGGGGAATGCAGTGCATCCTGTGTGACTCCACTGGAAAGGACTCTTGGAAGTTTGCGGCTGGCTTCCTCTGGACTTTGCCCCCTGCGCTGAAACCCGCAAACAGCCATTGACGATTAAGCAGCTGGTAACTATGGGGGATCGGAATTTGCGAACTCAAAATATGTCTCTGCCTGAATGACATTTTGACCCCCACCCCCACTAACTGACCAAAGGAGTTTGGGAATGGAGGCCTGCCCCCAGAAAAGGCCATTGCTATAGACATCTCTGGGTACCTGGGTGGGTCGTTCTAAATCCATTCTTAGTTCTGGTTACCCTTTATGAGAGGCATTTACATTTGTAAAGAAAATCTCCATTTGTAAAGGTATCTTCTCCCCTGCATAAGGAAGAAGGGGGGATGGCCTTACCTAGAAACTTATCAGAATGGAAGGTGAGGACTTAAATCTGCATGAGAAACTTACTCATTGTTAATTGCGCTGTTTGGACAATATGCTTTCTGACTCCCACTAGGTTCCTATAGATGACATCTCCCTGGAGCCTGGGTTACCATGGTAATGGGTGTTTGAGCTATTTTTTTTTTTCAGGAACTGAGCCCCTTGTCCACTTCAGGCCGGACTGAGACCACCAACCCATCAACCGGGACCTTTTGACAAGAGGTTGGAACTTCACCCTCAGGGCACGCTAATGCTGCCATTCTGTGAACATGTGTCCTACGAAGAAACATGAAGCCTGACTACATTTGCACAGATCATCAATTACCTCATCTCTCCTCACCTCCAATCATTTCAGACCACCTTGCCCCCTTCCCCATAAATTCCCCTGAGTCCCTATTTTCGGGGAGATGGATTTGAGACTTGTTCTCCTGTTTTCCTCACTGGGCTGCCTTGTGATTAAACCCTCTCTCTCTGCAATCTCGTGTCTCGGTGATTGGCTTTCTGGGCGGCGGGGAAAAACGGACCTGGTGCGGTAACACGCCTGTTCCCTCTGGTGATTTTGCTCTGTGTCCTCACTGTCATCCCTCATAGCTGTGAGTGTGACTGTATGCCGAGTCCCACGGGGCCTAGCAAACCATCAAAACTGAGGGTGGGCTTGGGGTCTCCAGGAAGCTTACCCTAATATTCAATTGTTTTTATAGCCAGGCTATTGAAATTCTTCTTTACAGAAAAAAACAAACTAGCCAACTTTCTGGATGCAATTTATAATCATTTCTTATTTGTTCATTTGTTCCTTTAGTATAATAACAATAAATCTTAATATTCAATATATAAACTTCTCCAAATATCAGTGAGGTAAAGGTGTGCTGCATAGAATATTTTTTATTATGAAAAATTTCCAATATTTTTTAAAAATAGAGGAAAAAACTCAATAAACCTCATGTATCTCTCATCCAGCTTCAACTATTAACAGCTAATGGCCAATCTCATTTCATTTATACCCTCAGCCACTTTCTCCTCCCTCCATCCCCCTTCACTGAATCAAATCACAGACATCATATCATTTCATCTGCCAATATTTCTGAATTATACATAAATTTACCAAGAGAACATAAATATCCGAAATAGTATTTTTGTAATATCCTGCTGTAACCCTCAACTGGGCCTAGTTTCGAAGGCTGGTTTAAGAAGAGGAGGCCAGTGGTTTCTCTGCACGTCTGTTTATTCCTTGATCCTCTTCTCCACAGTTTAGCTAAGAGACAAAGAGATTCCCCAGAATACTTGCAACAAATTTTCCATCCACCTCCGTTCAGAGAAGTAATTTCTGATGGTATGGGACTGAATTTATGACGATCCAAGATCCCAGGTTTGAATGTTTTTATTCCTTTAGCCACATAAATCTGTCACTTCTGTATTCCTCTCACATTAAAAATGGTACAAGTTAACATCCTGTTATCACCTTCTCTATTTAACTTACTCTCTTAGTTTTATCCCTCAATCTCTGCACCACTGTACCAAGAAAAGAATGATCAAAGAAATTCCAGGAGCCACTTCCCTTACCTTTGTCCCACTTGAGAAATAAAACAATTTGTTTTCAATGTCTCCATTATTCCAAGTGATGAAGTCTGAAATCACCGGAGGAATGTCAAAATACACTATTCTTCAGGAATCAACAGTGTCATGTAAAAGTGGAAAAATAATCATACCAATTTTTTGGTAGATAATGAGAGTTTTTAACACGTTACAAAACAATATATCTCCTTAGTGAGGGCCATAGTAAAGCTAATCTTGTTTCTCTTTTTTTTTTAATTTTATTTATTTATTTTTCCCCAAAACCCCAGTAGATAGTTTTATGTCACAGTTGCACATCCTTCTAGTTGCTGTATGTGGGACGTGGCCTCAGCATGGCCGGAGAAGCGGTGCGTCGGTGCGCGCCCGGGATCCGAACCCGGGCCGCCAGCAGAGGAGCGCGAGCACTTAACCGCTAAGCCACAGGGCCGGCCCTGTTTCTCTTAAAAAATCCAGATTTTAGGAGGTTCCTTATACTTTTACATTACCTTTTTCTTTGACTAATTTTTTCACCAAAAATGATACAATTTTTAGAATGAAGAATAAATATAGTACCTCTTTCTCTAAATTTTTCTTTTTAAGATAGAAGCTCTTCAATTTTTGTAGTATTATATCACTCACTTGCTCACTCTCTTTGAAATGTTCAGCATCAGGATTGGTAATGTCCTAAGGGTAACAGTTTCAGAAATTATATTAAAAAGTTTTCAGTAAAGCTAAAAGGAGGAAGGAAAAAACACAAATGAAACAAATCTCCCTTCTACAATAAGCGCAATAATATTGAACTCAATTCTTCAATCACTCATCATAAGACATCACATAAAGGGTTAGTGTAGAAAGAACTCATGTAGATTCACACTGTAAATAAGCTGTTATTGGAACGAATTACTATAATCACTGGGAAGTTAACATTCATCTATAATAACTATACATGCTTACACATTAATACATAATCCCCTCTTAGCCTGGCCAGTTTACAAATCCAAATTTTAGACAAATTGTTATACCTGGCACCAGAACAATCAGACACCTTCAACAAGACTGAAGCTCTAGGTATTTCAAGGGTACCCAGCATGAAGCTACCTGTGCCACTACAATGTAAGAGTAAAGTGCACACACTGGAGTCGGACTGCCTGGGTTTCTATCTCAGTTCTGCCACTTAACCATAGGTGAGACTTTGGACAAGAAACTCAAAACTCAACTATTCTTTTTTTTTTTTGTGAGGAAGATCAGCCCTGAGCCAACATCCATGCCAATCCCCCTGTTCTTGCTGAGGAAGACCAGCTCTGAGCTAACATCTATTGCCAATCCTCTTCTTTTTTTTTTTTTTTTTCCCTCCCCAAAGCCCCAGTAGATAGTCGTATGTTATAGTTGCACATCCTACTAGTTGCTGTATGTGGGACTCTGCCTCAGCATGGCCCAACAAGCGGTGGGTTGGTGCGCGCCTGGGATCCGAACCCAGGCTGCCAGCAGCAGAGCTCGTGCACCCAACCGCTAAGCCACAGGGCCAGCCCGAAACTCAACTATTCTAAGCCTAAGTTTTTCTGTGTTAAAAAAGCGCCTGGCAATATAAAGAATGGTATAAGGATTGAATGAGATAATCCATGAAAAGCAGGGACTGTAAATGTAAATGCCTCCAAGGACAGGCTGGGAAATCAGCAAACTGAGTGCCTATTCGGAGTTTAACCTATGTTAGGGAGAGGTGAACAGCACACGGAGTCTTTGATAGCATTTGTTTGGCGTGGGATGAGATCTCCTAAGAAGAGGGCTGATGACACACTCCATCTTTGACAGGTCTGGTAGAGAAGAAGCATCCAGCAGACAAGACTGAGAAAGAATAGCAGCCTCCAGTGAGACAGGAGAAAACCAAGCAAACATGGCGAGTAAGGAAATGTTTGAAGGGGAAAGGTGGGGTGGAAAAGTCTGCAGCAAAGAGGCTGTGCCACATTCAGATTCAAATACTTAAAAACAAAACTCTAGGTAGACACAGTCTGTGGGCCCCCTCTTGGTGATCTCTACATAAAATGCTTACCTCTGGTTCTAGCATTCAGTAAATACTAGTGTTCAACAAATTTGAGCTAAAACAAGATAGATATAAGGTTTCTGTTGGATCAGGAACACTGCAAACCCATGCCCCCAAATTCTGGCTCAGACAACTGCACTTAAGATCAAAGAATGTACAATAATAGAAGGGAAGAGGCAGAGAGAGAGCTAGCTAAGCTAATTTGAGAAGCTATCAAGTGTCATGCCCTTCAATATGTTCTCATTAAATGCAGTGCTTGTAACTTCCCAGGGCGGCAGCAAGGATCATTTCCCCTATTTAAGATGAGGAAGCTAAAGCTGAGAAAGGAAAAGTTACTTGGCCAAGTCACACAGCCAGGAAGCGGTGAAGCCAGGATTCAAACTCACCTGACACTAACTTCGTTTTTCATTCTACTCACGTACACAGCTCCACAGTGCCCTCCCCCTGCCCAACAGCCATATTTTAGATTGGGTAAACAGCTCGCTAATGGGAACAAACGTTAATCACGAGGAGCAGACTGACCCAGAGTATAAGACCATTGCTATGAGAGAGCTTTCCTGAAATGTGGGAAGTACCAGATGAAGGGTTTCACTTCATGTCTTTATTTATTTATTTATTTTTTAAAGATTTTATTTATTTATTTTTTGCCCCCCAAAGCCCCAGCAGATAGTTGTATGTCATAGTTGCACATCCTTCCAGCCGCTGTATGTGGGATGCAGCCTCAGCATGGCCGGAGAAGCGGTGCATCAGTGCGCACCCGGGATCCGAACCCGGGCCGCCAGCAGCGGAGCGCGCGCACTTAACCGCTAAGCCACGGGGCCGGCCCGTCTTTATTTTTTTATCTTGTTATATTACCTTACTGTAGACTTGTGGGAATTAGGCATTGAAGAAAGATAAATAGAAGAAAGCAGTAGGATGAAGGAAGGGCTGACTGGTTGGTTGAAGGGTCTGTATTTTGTCTTCCATTTTTTTCTTCCATAACTTAATTCCGTCGTCTTATATTACCTCTTTTGGTTTAGTCCAACCTTGATATTTCTTCTCCCCCAATAAAAAAATATGATTTTTTTTTTATTACCTGGCATGTGAGAAGTCCTACCATCAGAGCCAGAAGATTGTGAATTTTGGAGGCCAGCTGAGAAGTTCTTTTCACGTCTGGGGGATTCAGGCTCTCAACTTCACAAGATGAGCAATTCAGGAACAAATTAGAATGTATCATCTTTGCATCCTACATGTACACAATTCAGATTTGTTACAGCAAAGACAAAGAATCTGGATTACTTTTTAAGTATAAAGTGCTGAATAAAATACCACTCTTAAAAACTCTGAGGGGCCAGCCCCATGGCTTAGCGGTTAAGTGCGTGCGCTCTGCTACTGGCGGCCCGGGTTCAGATCCCGGGCGCGCACTGACACACCGCTTGTCCAGCCATGCTGAGGCGGTGTCCCACATACAGCAACTAGAAGAATGTGCAACTATGACATACAACTATCCACTGGGGCTTCGGGGAGAAAAAGGGGAAAAAAAGGAGGAGGATTGGCGTGGATGTTAGCTCAGGGCTGATCTTCCTCGCAAAAAAAACAAAAAACAAAAAAACTCTGAGCAGTGGTTCTCAAACTTTTTGACTCTCAGAAACCCTTTATAGTCTTGAAAATTATTGAGGACCCCAAAAACCTTTTGTTTATGTGGGTTATAATTATCAATATTTATTGTATTAGAAATTACAGCTGTGGGCCGGCCTGGTGGCTTAGTGGTTAAGTGCGCGTGCTCCGCTACTGGCGGCCCGGGTTCGGATCCCGGGCGCGCACCAACGCACCACTTCTCTGGCCATGCTGAGGCCGCGTCCCACATACAGCAACTAGAAGGATGTGCAACTATGACATACAACTATCTACTGAGGCTTTGGGGAAGAAAAAAAGGAGGAGGATTGGCAATAGATGTTAGCTTAGAGCTGGTCTTCCTCAGCAAAAGAGGAGGATTAGCATGGATGTTAGCTCAGGGCTGACCTCCCACACACACACACACAAAAAAGAAATTACAGCTGAGAACATTTAAAAATATGTTTGCTAATTCATTTAAATAATAAATCCATTATGCATCAATATAAATAACAAATGTTTAATTAAAAATTACCAAATTTTCCAAAACTAAAACTACTGAAAAGAGTGGCACTGTTTAAAACAAAGATACAGGGAACAGATTGGTGGTTACCAGAGGCGAAGTGGAGTGAGGGGATGGTGAAAAGGGTAAAGGGGCACATGTGTATGGTGATGGTTAGCAACTAGACTTTTGGTGGTGACACGATGCAGTCTATACAGAAGTTGAAATATAATGATGTACACCTGAAATCTACATGTTATAAACCAATGTTACCTCAATAAAAAATAATAACAAAATTTTTTAAAAGAGTGGCACTGTTTATATGTTTTGCGATTTTTGTGTGTGTGTGTGTGAGGAAGATCAGCCCTGAGCTAACATCTGTTGCCAATCCTCCTCTTTTTGCTGGGGAAGATTGGCCCTGGGCTAACATCCATGCCCATCTTCCTCTACTTTATATGTGGGAGGCCTGCCACAGCATGGCTTGACAAGCAATGCACAGGTCTGCACCCGGGATCCGAACCTGTGAACCCCAGGCCACCAAAGCAGAGCACGCAAACTTAACCACTACCCCACTGGGCCAGCCCCAACGTTTTTTTGCGAATATTGTTAATGCTGCCTTAATGCTGGATTCTCATGTTTGCTTCACACATTCCATCAGCCATGAAAGCAATTATACCATCACATGTCACACAGTTTCTGGAAAATCCCACTGTACACTTGTGAAAGAACGAGAGTGAAAAAGGCAGTAATGTTTTCATATTACTATGAAAATACTTTTGACCCTACAAACACTCCCAGACCACACTTTGAGAAAATGAACCTAGAGTTAATGAAAAGCAAAACTAAAAGCAGAGTAAGAATGATTTGGGATATTAAAGAAATTGACTAGTCAGGATAAAACAAAGAACTTTACTGCTTTTTTAAAAGAAAGCTCAAGAAAAAAATTATTATATTGTGATAAACTTCTGTACAGTTACACTAATTCATTCAGTTTACCAATTCAAAATCCATCATGATTTGGTTAGCAGCTATACTTTAGGTCATCTTTGCTCAGGTTGGTGGCTCTCAAAGTGTGATCCTTGGACCAGCAGCATCAGTGAGACCTGGGATCTTGTTAGAAAGGCACATTCTCAGGCCCCACCGCACACCTACTGAATCAGAAACTCTGGGGTGGGCCCCAGCAATCTGCATTTTCACAGCTGATGCTGATGAATGCTAAAGTTTCAGAACCACTGGATTAGATAATCCTTCCTTCTTTCTGGAGAAAAGGTCACAAAGAGAATTTTTTTAACACAAGAGAACAATATTTTCCTAAGAATCCTTAAAAATAATAGTTATTTACTTGCTAACAGTATGTACTTATATTGATTACAGATTCATGAAGGAGAGTCCACTAAGGACATCTTCAAAGCAACATATCAGCTCAGTTCAAGTTATTATACTATATAAATAAACCTATACATTTTTCTAGTTCAGATTAGCCTTCTTTCTAAGTAATTAGAGTTAATAAGATTGTACTACAAATATGTTAAGGCAGGCCTACAACACTGAAATAGAATAGATGTGCTCTGGCTTGTGAAAATTATCACCTCCAGGACATGCTTCTAGGTTCTTGTCTGCCAAAAAAGCCATTTGAACTGCAGAGAATACAAAATAACTGCCTCTCCGAACATATTGATACGAGGCTCTCATGCCATTTTTAACAAATGTTAACCAGACTTACTGTGGTGAGCATTTTGAAATACATACAAATATCGAATTATTAAGTTGTACTCCTGAAACTAATGTTATATGTCAATTATATCTCAATAAAAAATGTTTATAATTTTACAAAATTAATATGTGATATAATATAGGTTTGTTTTACCTTGTAAACTAAATATGCAATTGTATTATTTAGTGTTATTGTTGAATAGGCAGACATGGTATGAAAAGATTGAGATGCCCACTTAGAAAATCCTTTCGGGGCCGGCCCCGTGCCATAGCGGTTAAGTGCACGTGCTCTGCTGCAGGGGACCCGGATTCGGATCCCGGGCGCGCACCGACACACCACTTGTCAGGCCATGCTGTGGTGGCATTCCATATAAAGGGGAGGAAGATGGGCACGGATGTTAGGCCAGGGCCAGTCTTCCTCAGCAAAATGAAGAGGATTGGCATGGATGTTAGCTCAGGGCTGATCTTCCTCACACACACACACACACACACACTAAATAAATAAATGTTTTTTTTAAAAAAAAAATCCTTTTTTTTTTGTGAGGAAGTTCAGTCCTGAGCTAATATCTGCCAATCCTCTTCTTTTTTTGCTTGAGGAAGACTGCCCCTGGGCTAACATCCGTGTCCATCTTACTCCACTTTATATGGGACGCCACCACAGCATGGCTTGACAAGTGGTGCGCTGGTGCGCGCCCGGGATCCAAACTGGAGAACCCCGGGCAGCTGCAGCGGAGCGCGCGCACTTAACCACTTGCACCACCGTGCCGGCCCCTAGGAAATCCTTTTTTTTTTTAATAATTTTATTTATTTATTTTTTTCCCCCAAAACCCCAGTAGATAGTTGTACATCATAGTTTCACATCCTTCTAGTTGCTGTATGTGGGACGCAGCCTCAGCATGGCTGGAGAAGCGGTGTGTTGGTGCGCGCCCGGGATCCGAACCCGGGCCGCCAGCAGCAGAGCGCGCACACTTAACTGCTAAGCCACGGGGCCAGCCCAGGAAATTCTTTCTTAAAGGATGCTTCAGATGTCCAGGCATGAGTGCCCACAAAATTCCCTCGTTAATTTTCACCTCTTACAAAGTAATGACAAGAGGCCAGAAACGGCTGTTCTTTAATGTGAGTACCCAAGAACCAAAGAAACTTCTCCAAACCTGTGGTGCGTTTTCCATTCTCTCTCTCCTTTTTTGTTAATAATTCTTTCTGCAAGTGCCATGCCTAAATATGCATCACCAGATTATCAGGAACTCTTGAAATTCTGCATTAGAGATTCTGAATCTGTGACAATACCTGTGTGATATCTGGCTCCATCACTTCCTCTAAGTGCTCCTTTAACTGAGCTACCTCAAATTTAGGGTAATTTTGCTCCTCACTCCTTGCAACCTGCTGCTGGAGTTTTGCATTTTCATTTTTGACTTCATTGATCTGCTGCTGAAGTTTTGTATTCTTAGCCTTTTCATTTTCAGATATGAATTGCAAATTTTTAACTTGAGCCACCAATTTCTCAAGTCTGGATTTCAGTTTCTGTCTTTCTTCCAGGTTTTTCTTTTCATGTTTCTGAAATTCTTCGTGTAAAGACAGGAACTCTTGTTCTTGGGTCTCTTTTTCCCTTTTCAACAAGTCCAAAGCACACGTAGTGGCCTTTTCCAATTCTCCTTTGAGTAGCTGCAGCCTCTCTACCTCTTCTTCCTTCTTACTTAAGGTTTTGTCCATCTCTATGCACTCACTCAGAGTTTTATTTTTTTGTTGCATTTCAGTCATGTACCTTTCCTGGAGACGAACATAATTGCCCTTGATCTTCTTAAGCTCCAGCTGTAAGGTTTCCTTTTCATTCCTAGATTCCTGAAGATGTTTTTGGGTGTTAGCTAAAATCTCATGCAAATTCTGCAGTGTCTTGTCAGTATCATTCTTCTCTAGCATGACTCTGTATTTGTCTTCAATTAATTCTTCGACTTTCTCCTTTAGCTTATTTATGATGTCAACGAACACTTGCTGTTTGGTAGTCTTCACCTGTAGTTCTTCAACCTTCTTCTCTAAATACATTTTATTACACTGGAGTTCTTGGATCAGAGTTTGCTGCTTTTTGTTAGTATGTTTTAATTTCCGTAAGACTTCATTTAAAGCCATATCCTCTTCCAGAGGTTGCAAGCTTTCCCAGCTCTGCTCTGTGTCAGGCGTCCTGCAGTCCTCCTGGGATGCTCCATCACTCCAAGAAGCGCCTGCAGGAGACCCAGTGGAGACAACAGGACCCTCCGTCCCCTCCACTGCGACTGCCTTTCCATGACTGACTGACATCTCAGGAATATCCCCAGAATTCTGTATTCCTTTTGAAGAAAATGCAATCTGCAAATCATAGTAAATAAAACAAGTGCAAAGGAGTAGAAAGATCATGAGCTTTGAAGTCAGACACAGCTGGCCTTGAATCCTAGATCCCTAGTTTAGTTTCCTCAGCTATGAAATTCATAACAGTGATAATATCTACCTACAATAATAACACCTACTTAACAAAAATACTTAAGTATCAATTGCTAAATGTAAGCACAGCACCTACCAGCACAGCAGAGCACAAACAGTGGTTATAGGGTAGAGATATGTATCACATCTACATTTACAAAAGAAAAGTTAAACTTTGATCCTCTCACCACTTTCTATGAGGCAAACTTTTCTGAATACATATAAGATACTTTCATTGACTTCAAATAAAAACAAATTTATCAATTACCCTACAGTCTGTGAGGCCTCATTTGAATAAATAGTTTTTAAACTTCTCATTAAATCATTACCTCACTATGCTATGACTCCCGTGAAGCTTAGAATGTCAGATAAACATGCCTCATGATTGACTTTCTGCCCACAATACAGGTCTTGGGGGGTTTAAAATAGGACAGTAAGTTGCAGTAAGAAAATGCTAAAATGAATATGATGTAAAAACCTCAGTGGAGGTGGGCTCTATAACTTTCTAGAATTTAGAGCTATGGGACCCCTGTATTCTAATGGTTTTCACTGTTCTGGGATAAAGACAACTATCCTTATTGAGGCCTATAAGGTCCTGGTATCTGACCTTGACATCTGAGCCAGGCTACCTCTCCATACTCGTATACTACCTCCCTCTTGCTTCCTCCAACGCAACAACACAGGCCTTCCTTCAGGTCCTAGTAGGTACCATGCTCCCTGCAGCCACAGGGTTTTTGCACATGCTGTTACTTCTGCATGGAACGTGTTCCCACCCACCGTTACCTAACTAACTTCTACCCATCCTTCGGAGCTCAGCTCAGTTCCCACTGCTTCAGGGAAGCCTTCATCAAACTCCCTGACCAGGATGGTAAGACCTCATCTTACTTTTATTCACAGTACTTATTGTAGTTGCAAGTTTATATGTAATTTTATATTACATTATATACACTTTACATACACTTTATATGTAACTTTTATTCACAGCACTTATAGTCGAAAGTTTACATTTCCTTGCACGATTATTTAATTAATGTCTAGCTCCTCTACTAGGATGTTATTTTCATGAGGACAAAAACCACATCTTTTTGTTTGTTTTTTGTTTTTTAACCATTATATAACTAACACCTAACATAGGGCCTAGCACATAATAGATGCCTGAAAGTATTTATTGACTGACTGAATAAATGACTAAATGGAATGGAAATACGAAGGAACAATCTTGAGAAATCCTAATTAAACAGATTTTTTAAATGTCATTTTCTGGAAATCAACATAGGGAAATAAAGTTCTCTTTTAAATGCTGCTTCCAAGTAAATGAACAAAACATTGCTCATATTTGTAAATGAAACATAATAGCCATGTCTTTTCTCATCAAATTCATGATAAAAAGGTATTATATAGAATAGAAATATATTCTATTTTCTATATTCTATATCTATATTCTATTTTATATTTTATATTTAGTGAATCAAACTGAAAGAAAAGGTTGAGAAGAGGAAAAAGTTCAGAGGTATTAATTAAATTATTCCACAAGAAAAATCTTCTATTTTCTATATTCTATGAATATAGAATAGCTATTCTCAAATTATATCTATTTGCCCACACTAATTCTTTTTTATTTTTTTTATAATTTTTATTTATTTATTTTTTCCCCCAAAGCCCCAGTAGATAGTTGTATGTCATAGCTGCACATCCTTCTAGTTGCTGTATGTGGGACACGGCCTCAGCATGGCCAGAGAAGCAGTGCGTCGGTGCGCGCCTGGGATCCGAACCTGGGCCGCCAGCAGTGGAGCCTGCGCACTTAACCGCTAAGCCACGGGGCCGGACCAACCCACACTAATTCTTGAAGTTTTTATTTTTTTGTTCAGAGAGTCTGTAGAATTTATACAGCTGGCATCTTCAGTGCTCTTAGAATACTACATGCATGCCCAGAATCAATAAGTCAAAAGACAATTTAATGTTTTCACTTTGGTAGAAAAATAAATATTTTAGAAATCCCACATGACAAAAAAACTTAAGATTTTCTTGTCAAATAACTTAATTAATACCTCTGAACTTTTTCCTCTTCTCAACCTTTTCCTTCAATTTGATTCACCAAATATAAAAGCTTATTATTTTTTTATGTGTAACGAAGATCGGCCCTGAGCCAACATCCGCCAATCCTCCTCTTCTTGCTGAGGAAGACTGGCCCCAGGCCAACATCCATGCCCATTCTCCTCCACTTAATATATGGGACGCTGCCACAGCATGGCCCGACAAGCAGTGTGTCAGTGCGTGCCTGGGATCCGAACCTGCGAACCCCAGGCCACCACAGCAGAGTGGGTGCACCCAACCGATTGGGCCACCGGGCCGGGCCCTATAAAAGCTTATTATATTCAAGGCACTGTGTAGATGCTAAGGTGCATAAAAGGATAAGAAAGACAGAGCCCTGATCCTCAAAGAAATTATCATTTGATAGAGCTAATCTCCAAGTATGGACTTGATTTTATTAGAAAAATTTGTTTCTAAATTGATTAAGGTCTTGGAAGGCATTTTCCCCAGAGAAGCAATGTCTTTTGTGCTAATTAGATGATTTAGCACTATTTGGAAAAGTCTCAGTTTATAGACATTAAAAAAAACCACATACACACATCCTTTAATACTCTACAGCCTGTACTGACCATCAAAAAATCTTACCTCCTCTGTTTTATAATTAGCTCTCAGATCAAGCAGGTTAAAGTTATTCTCTTTATAAAACGGTTTTTCAACATCACTGTCTACATTTTCCTGACATGAGAAACTTTGAGGTTGACTAGGGTTGAGGGCAGATTCCGTGGCAGTACTTTTAGCCAGTGACATTTCTGTGAATTCCAGTGTCTCTCCATTGCAGGGGATTAGAGGTGGGCTTCTAGGAGGTTGTCTGACACACTCATGAGCAAGTCGGTCTTTATTTGTGGAAGTGCTAGTTCCCATTGGATTTTCTTCCTTAAATGAATCTTCCTTTATATTGGTGCCTTTTGCATAATTATATACATGACTTTGCAATTCTGGCTTCTCTGTGTAAGGTAAGCCTTCCATCAGATTCTGAAATGTTATCATTTCATTATTAAATGCTTCTGTCTGATGAAATTTGCAAATGGGTTCAAACTGTCTGAAGGAAGAAATGCTGGTGTCAACCGGCTGAGTTAGTACATTCTGTGTGTTCTTTCCAATGTTGACATCTCATTAGAAAGAGAAAGATGGAAATAAGAATTAGCTGACCATAAATTTATGTGTTAACAGTTATATTTACATTTATGAAATAAACTGTTGGAGCCTTTTAAGAATTATATGTATTTCAACATTTTTCATTGAGTGGATTTTAGCATGGTGTTGTGCTAGCAAACAAAACAACTTTTACTTGGGGGAATGTTCTCAAATGACTGCTACAAAAAGCTTGTTATATATTCTGTCCAAATACCATTACAACAAATTCCAAGATATCTTGAAAATTCTTTTGTTGCACTGTAATTTTAAAATGTTTTAATTAGAAAATGTTTCAAAAGAATACAAAAAGCACAGTGAATAGTAGAATAGCAAACACACATAAACTTGTTTAATCTCACGACAATCCCACGAGCCAGGTAATGTTACTATCCCTGTTTTACAGATAAGGAAATTGAGACATAAGAGATGTTAAGTTACCCGCCTAAGGTCACGGAGAGGATAAGCAGTGCAGCTGGGATTCTAGAATACTATTTCTAAATCTATGCTACACTGTTTCCCAAGATGACTCACTACCCAGATTTAAGACATTTTAAAAAATCAGAAATAAGGCAAAATGGAAAATAATAAAGTCTTACAAAATTAATTAATGACCCTTCCCTTCTATCTAAATTCCCTCCTTTCCCCCCTCCCCAGAGATAACTACTATACTGAAACCGGTATGTATTCATTCTTCCCATCCATATTTTTCTACTGTTACTATTCATTTATGGACCCTAAATAATATATTTCAAGTTCCCAGACTTTCTCATTTTGTGATACCTTTAATGTCTTAGTAATTTTTTTACAGGACCCCTAGACCAAAAGAAATACCTAACAGCTCCGTTTATTAAGTAATTAAGCTCAAACAACTTAATAAGATTTGTCCTAACAACTTAGTAGCTGTTAGAAAATACACACGAGCTGAAGGAAAAATATAATATTTTATTTCATTTTTAAACAATCGAACTTACTTGCTACTTGGATGAACTACTGGGCACCACACAATGTCACAAACCTTGGAATCAGATTGGACAACGCCAACCCTCACTTCCTTCCCACATTGATTTTCACACACTACTTGCTTTCTATCACAGCAACCTCCAAAAACCCGGCTTTGCAAATAAGCTGTTACAGAAAGGATTGTAGCATGGTTTTATATTGAAATAGTGAACTATCTCAAGTCAGTAGTTCGTAGGGCCCAGTACCACTCTTTCCTTCAAATTTCAAAATACCCTGCAGGACCCTGGATTAACTGTGGATATATAGTATTGTTTTCTGTGTTTTAAAATTTTATGTAAATAGCATCATACTATATATATATATCCATATAAAACAGTCTTTATTTCACTTAAATTTTGCTTTTCAGACTTAGCCATGTGAATACATGTAGGTTTAGTTCATTCTACTGAAGGATTACACTTTATTCCCTTTTTGTTAGATATTTGTTTCTAATTTTGCTTTTAGAAACAACATTGCAGTGAACATCCTAATACACGTTTCCTTGTACACTAATGCAAGAATTTTTGTCTAGGCTCTGGGCGTATACCTAGAAGTGGCATTGCTGGATTACAGAAAATACGTATCTTCAACTTTACCAGATATTGCAAAATTACTCTCCGAAGTGGTTGTACCAATTTATACTTCTACCGGTAGCCTAAGAGCTCCTTTGCTCTACATCCCTCCAACACATGTCAAACTGATGTGTATGACATGGTATTTTGTGGTCTTTTTAATGTACATCCTTTCAGGTACTTAATGGACTTGCAGGTTTCCTTTTCTGTGATCTGCCTATTAGATACACTTATGGACTGAACAGTGTCTCCCCAAAATTCATATGTTGAAGGCTTAACCCGCAGCACCTCAGAATGTGATTGCCTTTGGAGAAAAGGCCTTTAGAGAGGTAACTAAGGTTAAACGATGGTTGTTAAATCATAAGGCAGGAGGCCTAATCTAATATGACTAGTCTCCTTATAGGAAGAAGGGACCCAGGGAGGCACAGAGAAAAGGCCACGTGAGGACACAAAAAGATGGCCATCAGTGAGGTCTCAGGAGAAACCAACTCTGCTGGCACCTTGATCTTGGACTTCCAGCCTCTATAACTGTCAGAAAATAAATTTCTGTTGTTGAAGCCACACAGTCTGTGGTATTTTGTTGTGGTAGCTCTAATAAACTAATATATATACTTTGCCTGTTTTTCTATTGAGTTATACGTGTCTTTTTCTTATTGGAGTTCTTTATTTTGGATAATAATCCTTTGTCAATCATATATATTGCATGTATCTTGTCTCAGTCACTGGCTTGTTTTTTTTACTTTGTTGATTATAATTTGGTCATATGGAAGGTTTTTTTAATTTTAATATAGTCAAATGTGTTTATTATGGCTTGTATTTCTCATGTTACTCACTGAGTCTCACTTTTTTCATCTGTAAAATAGAGATAAAAACAGCCCTTATTTAAAAAGAAAAAAAGCCCTATTTCATAGGATTGTTTGTGCATAAAATGTGATAATGTATCTAAAATGCTTACACAGTAGCTGGCTATTATTATTATTGTTGTTATCACAGGACACAAAAAAATCTTAGTTTGTCTGTTTGCATATTGTCAACAAAAAGATACTCACCACCTAACAAATCATCTAGTGTGCTATAAATTTCTTCAGAAAGTGTAAGTTTGGACTCATTTTCCCTTTTTACATTCTTTATTTCATTCTGTATTCATAATAAAAAAGGCATTAATATTAATACTTCAAACATCATAAACCTCTTCTAAAGGCATATGTACAAGCTATATAATTTTTCTGTTAGTATAGTTTGTTGCATGGATAGAATGAGCTTTCCAGTATCTTTGCCCACTGTATATCTGAGCTCCCTTTTAATAAAACCATGTTAATAGAGTCATGATATTAAATGACAAATAAGTATCTGGCTATTTTAATATTTTGTTTTTTTAGCAATTCAAATCATGTTAGTATAAACATATATATGATAACCTACATACCTCTTACTGATAATTCTTTGATAATTCTTTAATTGTTTGTTAGATCTGGTCTAAACATTAGGGTAGTTGTCATTCTAGTCTTTTAACACTGAAGATAGATAAAACAGTGTTCCAGTAATTAGGTGAAATCTGATTCCACTAAATAGAAATCTATAAAAATTCATGTAGGGCTTATTCTCAAAGTTACCTTAATGCTATCTAAAATGAAAGGGTTATTTAGTAAATTAATAGTATAAATAAGATAGTAAGGAAAATATTTTAAATGTTTGAGGAAAACTACAGTTTAATCACGAATAGTATATCAACTATGTGGACCTAAATGATGCTCTAAAAAAATCTTTCTCTCTCATTAAGGTCAGTTGGTTACAAACCTCTATTCAATAATGCTTTTTTATAGCATTGTTCCACTTATTGAATGCACCTGAAATACAATGAAAACCGAGGTACATTTTATAACAATCTGTTTTTAGATTTGTTAGAATTCAGATCATTCTTCCTAATGACATTTGTGTGTGTGTGTGTGTGTGTGTGTGTGTGTGTGTGTGTGTGGAAGATCAGCCCTGAGCTAACATCCATGCCAATCCTCCTCTTTTTGCTGAGGAAGACTCGCCCTGGGCTAACATCTGTGCCTATCTTCCTCCACTTTATATGGGACGCCACCACAGCATGGCCTGACAAGTGGTGTGTCAGTGCACGCCTGGGATCTGAACCCGGGCCGCCAGCAGCGGAGCATGCGCACTTAACTGCTACGCCACAGGGCTTGCCCCCTCAATGACATTTTAAAAGCATCAAGAATAATCTGCTTGAAAAACAGAACAGCACTATTCACATGTATTGATGTTATATTTACACAAACTTCCTGGGACTCACTACTCATTGAATTTCAGAGATCACTTCTAACTCGAGTCTTCTATGGTACTACTGTTTTTAACTAAAATATGCCTTTTGTTCCTTTGCTCTATACACTTTTCATGAAGAATAAAATGCTCACTTAAATCCAAGAGGGAGGACCTCCGTACATAATTAAGACATTCCTTCTTTCCAATTCACCATGTAGTATCTCGGACCCTGATTAACACTATAATAATACTATGACCAATTTTTCTTTAATGAAAATAGTTTTTTATAATTATAAAAAAAGAATCTTGAACATTTTTAAAAAAGAGAAAGTAGAAAACACTCCAAAGCCCACTACCTAGTGAGAAACAATGTGACTCTTTTTCCATGTCAACAAATACATATATATGTGTGTTATCATATTTAAGGCTTAAATGTCCACTGTACATCTGTACAATAATTTAACTAGGCCCCTACTGCTGAAAATTTAGGTTGTTTCCAGTGTTCAGTTATTATGCATAATTCTGCAAAGATCTCATTTGTATACTTCCTAGAGGTAGAATTAAAAATAAAATATACAGGGGGCCAGCCCAGTGGCGTAGCGGTTGGGTCTGTGTGTTCCACTCTGGTGGCCCAGGGTTCCCCAGTTTGGATCCTGGGTGCGGACCTATACACCGCTCATCAAGCCATGCTGAGGCAGCATCCACATAGAAGAACTAGAATGACCTACAACTAGGATATATAACTATGTACCGGGGCTTTGGGGAGAAAAAAGAAAAAAAGAGGAAGAATGGCAACCGATATTAGCTCAGGGCCAGTCTTCCTCAAAAAAATAAATAAATAAAAATAAAATAAAATATGCAGTTAAACTCTTGATTTCCTATCACTAAACAGCCTTTTAGGAAAGTTATGCCAATTTATGGACTGAACCACATGAAATGGTCAATATTTGCCCATTTCTGAACTACAAAAAGGCAATTTCACATGGCACAGCCTAATACATTCCTATTATTTCCCTACACTCTTGCTAATAATTATCAAACATTAGAACAACATTCATGAAGATCTTGGGATATTACAATTTCTTTTATTTTGTGAGAAAGGACACTAGGAACTTTCCTGAAGGTAGGAAAGAAGTCATTTACATGCAGGGTGCTGTCAATATCATTATGAACGACATTTGAATCCTTTCCGTGCTGACATAGTGGAAGATGCTTTAGACCAAATGTCAGATCCCTTAGGCTCTTGTCCTGCCTCATGTCCTAGCTGCACTCCTGGGACTTCACAAGGAGGCCAGACAGGATCAGTTTTAACACTCTATTTGTAAAATTCTACTTTTCTTTGTACACTAACGGAATTGGGAAAACCAGACCCTGTATTCCCCTCCTTTACGCTTCCACTGGAGATTCTTTTATTGTTTCTCATGTTTTTGAAGAAATTTTCATATGCAAGACAATGTTAAGGTTGAATACATCTGTACCTCCCAGAACTTGTAAGCAATGCACACCTGAGGCAAGTCTGAAGTGGTACTGCTGGTTTCCATATAGAAGGGAGAATTTGAGTGAGTTAAGTCTTGAGAAAGACCGCTGAAATTCATGGCATCCGCTTCTGACATGCTTTCTAATTTTTAGGAGAAGCATCCACTTTAAGATGTACAGGATCTGAAGGTGATGACCAAACTTTTTGACAGTCCTTGTTCCTAACTGTTGAATAATGGAAGGCCTCTTTAAAAAAACATAATTTTAATGTCTATTAGTATATGCAAACAGAAAGCTTTTTTCCCCACCCCTCCTCACATTAAGAAAGCAGCAAAGTTCATTGTCCCAAATTTTAAAATGGTATATGTCAAGTTATTGGAAAAATTAAAAATTTTAGTCTGAGTATACCATATACATTTGTATGGTAGTAAATACTAATTTGGACAAAAACAAGTCAATATGTGTGGCTGCTATCCAATAATTCCTTAAAAATCTTGGGACCCAGAAGATGAAGGGATCTCTCAATTAATCAAAAGATTTACAAAATATTATCAGAGACCTATTAGGTTCCACAAAACAGTGTATTTCTGTTTACTTGATACTTTCTATTCAAACATTTTATTAACAAGTCAAATCCAACATTATAAATCAGTTTTCCCTCACTTTCCTATGCCATACCTATTCTCTCAGACACCTGAGTTTGAACACTTGGAGATATCTTTGGCATCCCTCTACCTCATCATCCATGGGCTACTCAGTTACCAAGTCCTGTCCATTTCTCCTTTAAAATTTTTCTCATAACCCATGCTTTCTTTCCACCCTTTATCTCATCACACTGGTCCACATTCTCGTGACCTCCTAAGGTCTGTCAGGGGATGGGAGTGGAAAGGATGTCCAATCACACTGAATTCAAATTCTGCTGCTTGACTCTCTAGGTCTTTCATAGCCGGAACCCATGTTACCTACCCAGTACTCCCCTGCTCTAGTCAGATCAGGCTCACCTCCCTGCAAATAGATGACGCTCTTTACCACTTCAGCGGTCTGTCCTGGCGAGTGCTTCTCTCTCCTAAAACCTTCCCGTCTACCCATTCATCTATTTAAATTCCTACAATGTCTTCAGTCTAAACATCTATCTCATAATTCAGCACCGATTCATTTTACTGCTTTAGCATTCACCATTGTGTCCAGCATGTTAGTGTTTGCATTTACAGATTATAAATGCTTTGAGAGAAGTCCATTTATGGTTTTTCAGCAACGCTTACAGAAAATAGACTGGTGTTGTTCACAGAGTAAATACTGATAGAATAAATCCTGCATTCCAATGATTTATTTCTATTAAAACTTCTCAATCTACAGCCACTACCCATTTGCCTGGATTATTTTATTTAATTATTGAATTAATAAATAATTTATTAAGGTTTAATTTTTTTCAAACCTACATCATCATTCGGTAAAGTATAAAAAAGCCAGTGAGCCAACCAGGCTAGCTAGGATTGGTGGAAAGCCCAACACCATGCTCTCCTCTGTCTTACAAACATAAACGCTGGCTGGGTTGTAGTGACGGGGATCTCAAAAATCCTTGTTGTGTTTTCCAAGTGCAAAAACACGCAAGGGCCTTATTTCTTAAATGTTAAACCCAGAATATCCAATTACAATTTTACAACTTTGTTCATATGGCACATCCGCCAATTTACTTTTTTTTTAAGTTAGGCTTACTTTTTCCATCATTCATTCTGTCCCTACCAGATTTATGCTCGACTTTTAAAATATTCAAATGTTTGGAGAGATATTCCAGAGACACTCTAAAGTTGTTTTAACATGGGCATTAAAAGAGATGTCACTGGAGTTACTGGCAAAAATTCTAAGGTTTTCTTTAAAAAATTTTTTTCAGTCATATGTCAAACTTTAACTTTTAAAAGCACTTATCTTATTGTCACCTCAAAACAAGGCACCAAACTCTCACAAAATAAAAGAGATTGTAATGTCCCACGATCTTCACGTCTTTTTAACTTTTTAAGTCGCAAAAGTGTGCTCACTTCCAGGGTCCATCGAGTTTCTTGGAGCCACAGCAAGGATTCACGCTTCCTCCCTCCGCACTGAGTTTTGCAGGAGGAAGAACGCTTCTCAGACTTTTCCACGGAGGACTTTCAAAAGCTGTCAGCTGGGAGGCGGGCGCGCCAGAACGTCCCTGTGTGACGTCCGCCCGCCCCGCGCGGGCTCGGCTTGGGGGCTTCGAAGCCTCTGTTCCCAGCGTTGGGAAGTTACGTGGGTGTGAGCCCTCAGGCCCAACAGCCTGTGGGCCAGATGTCGCGTCCTTCTGCGGGAGGAAACACAAAGCGAGGTGCAGAGACCAAAAGCTCCGGGCACAATGCCCAGCACAGGTTCAGCGCCGGACGCGACTCAACACGGCCACCTGACACCCCCATGCGCCCCTTCAGCGCACCGTCGGCGCCAGCGGCGGGCGCTCCGCCCGGCGCAGGGGCGGGACTTCCGGTCGAGCGGGACTTCCGGTCGGGAAGGCCGGGAGGCTGGGGCTGTTGCTCTGGGTCCGTCGTAGCACGTGGCGCGCGGATTTGGCGTGGGGGCTTCTGAGCGGCTTGCGAGGCGGAAACCCACGGAGAGGCGGTTGGGTCGGCCGCGGATATAACCGTCTCTGTGCGGTTCCTGTCCCAGCGCCGGGTGGGCGGCCTCCGCGGGCGCCGAGCCTCTGCGCGCGTCCGTCATGGACTACCGGCGGCTGCTGATGAGTCGGGTGGTCCCTGGGCAGTTCGACGACGCGGACTCTTCGGACAGGTAGGCGGCCGTGGAGTACAGCGGCTCTCCCGATTCCGCTCTCCCCGCCGCCCCGTTGGGGAGTTGACGCTTGTTCGTGGTGTGGAGGGACACTGTAGTTTATCGCTCGGGGGCGCGCCCCACGGCTTCTCAGTCTTTTTCCATCCCAGCCGGGACTCGCCCCGGGTTATGGCAGAGGTAATGAGAGCCTCTGGTCAGGGGAGTCCGGGGTTCCCAGACGATTACCGTCGCTGAGGGACAGAGTTACGGATAGCGACTGGGAAACAGGTTTTTGCGCTTTATGTTAGGCATTCAAGAAATACTTATTGAGCACCTCCTGTGTGCCGGAATCTGTCCTCGGCGCTGGAGAAAGTGGTGAACAAGACAGACTAAGTCCCTGCTGTCATTGAACTTTACCCTCGCTACTTGGGAGGGGGGGCAGACAAGTACATAGAAATTAAAAAAAGATGACATATACTATGCAAGTAATTAAAGGCGGTTGATATACTACGTGTGTATGGTCAGAGAAGGGTTAAGTCCAGATCTAAATGACAGGAAGGAGCTAATCTCAGGAATAGTAGAGGGAACAGCATTTCAGGCGGAGAGAACAGCAAGCGCAGAGGCCCAACGGTGGAATCCCTCTTGGCTGGCTGTGAAAGAAAGATCTAGAGGCCAATGTGCCTACAGCCCAGTGGAGGTAGTTGAGAAACTTGGTAGGTAATGGTATAGAAGTGAGAAGGGGCCATATCATGTGTAGCCTCACAAGTGATGGTAAGGAGTTGAGATGTTATTCTAGGTCTTGCAGAAAGCCATAGGGGGATTTTAGCAGGGGAATTACATCATCTGATTTATGGTTTAAAGGAATCGTTCTGCTGTGGAGAGGATGGTTTTGGAGGGCAAGAGTGGAAGCAGAGACCAGTTCAAAAGTAATAAAGTCATCCAGTTCAAAGATTATGGTAGCTAGAGACAGAGTTGTAGGGATATGTTTTGGAGGTAGAAGTGAGAGGGTTTGGCAGTAGATTGGATGTGAATGTGAGGCAGAAAGAATTAAGGATAACTCCTACTTAAAAGCAAAATGAAACAGTTATTTTAGAATTCCAAGAAAGCAGTTTTTACTTAATGTTTACAGTAAAGATCTGTTACATATGGATTTTATCTGTCAACTGGAGATTTTTTCAATAAATATATCTTGATCCCTTTCTGTGTGTCAGATCTAGTGTTAGTTGGTAGGGGTACATTGGTAAACGCCACCCTGATTGACACAGAACTTGCACTCTAGCAAGGGAAACTTATTAAATAGTTAGACAAATTATTTGTATTAGAATTGGGTAAATAATACAAAGGAGAAATGGGTGACGAATAGGAAAGATCTCTCTGAGTGAGTTGATAGTAAGCTACTGCTGGAAGGAGTAGAAATGAGAGGGAGTAGAAGGGCATTCCAGGTTTATATTTACAGAGGGGCCTACAGAAGCCCCTAGGAGAGAAGTTAAGAGGAAAGAAGCAGCACAGCCAGCATGGCTGGTGAATAGTTAACAACAATGCGTATGCTCTGGTTTACTATCCATCACTGGATATGCTGATGATAAACCAACGATTTTGCCCCTCCTCCCCCAGTCCAGGGGACTTTTGCCGATCTCTGGAGACATTTTTGTTTGTCTCTACTAGGGGTGGTGGTGCACAAGTGGTATCTGGTAGGTAGGGCCAGAGATGCTGATAAACATCTTAGGATGCACAAGACAACCGCCTACAACAAAGGATTGTCTGGCTGAGGTTGAGAAGCCCTGGTACAAATGAAGGGGTAACTTTAACATGCCCCTCTAGGTTTTTGGCAATTTATTGATTATGTTTATGAAATCCTAGTAAATTGCAGGTGTTTAATGATTACTTTTTCTCTTCCTACCCATATTCATGGAGATTTTTAGCCCTCTAGACTATGGCTAATTAATAAGTCAGGATTGATATCTGAATTTGCTTAAACTCGTGTCTGACTGTTTTTAAGCCAGTAGTGCATATTATCACTTGTTTTATGTATGGTTTTTATCCTTATTCTCTATATGAGAGATCGAAACTGGTAGTATCACTATTGAATTTGGCCTGAAAATGTGTTTTGTTTGGTAGGCAAAGTGTTTTATAAAAATTGGATATGCCAGTTAAGTGGGAGATTTTACACAAAAATCCACATTTCTGGCTTTTCTTGAAAAGCTAAGAAGATCTGGTAACACTAGGTCTGAATTCTCACATGGCAAAAAAATACCCTATAAGTTGTGCTGCCTGTTCTCTGGATTTGACAATCCCCACTTCTCCTATTGTCTTATATGCAGCCTACGTCACTTATCTGTGGCGCAAGTATTCACTGTTCCTTCCCTTCATGCACAAGAGTGATTCTTTGTGTAAGACAAATCTTGATATAGTTTCTTTTGTTGCAAGGTGGTATTTGAGTTCAAGGTAAGGCTGCTTTAGACTTATTCCCAAGTTTTGGTCAGAAAGCTTTTTTTCCCTCTTAAACCAGTTCAATGAAGTTTCCCTTGCCTCAATTCATTCTGCAGAGAAGATAACTATATAAATTGTAACTTCAGTGGGGCAGAAGCAGATCCAACACCTGATGTACTTTAGTGTAGGACCTGGAGAATAAGCGAACAACTCCAGCAGAACTCTGAAAAACTGGAGAACTTGGTATTAAGAAGATTGAGCTTATTGGGAGATTGGTTGTAAGGGAACCTTTTAGTTTTGTTGGTGTAGGTTTACTCTGTTATATCATAAATAAATACGTAAGTTTGTCCAATTGGAGCATGTCTAAACGTGCTGAAACATTGTTATTTCTAGTGAAAACATTGACTTGAAGACAATCAAAGAAGAAGATGACTTTGTATTTGAAGACCTGCAAAGTAATGTGAATGAGAAGATGGGTGAAGGTGAGATAGAAGATGAGGAGGAGGAAGAGGATTATGATGATGACGATGATTGGGACTGGGATGATGGTGTTGGAAAACTTACCAAAGGTTATACCTTGAATGGAGGTAGTAACCCACAGGTATTTTAAAAATGATTCTATACATCTTTGTGTTGTTTGCTTATGTCTTCTTTTTTAAAAGGACTTTTTGTGGTTCTGGAACTGAGTAACTGAAAGATTTTCCTCAGGTGATATTTTCCTGTAGTTCTAGCCTTTATTGATTTTCATTCTTTGACCTTTCCATATTTCGAATAACTTCCGGATGTGGATTCTTTCCGTAATCAATAAATTTAAAAAGTTATTTAAATTGTCGTAAGATTATGAGCTTTAAAATCTGCATGGGAAAGGAGATGAATAGACAGTTTACTACTGATGGTTAAGAAACGGAGAAAAAGTTCAGCTCGTTAGTGATTAAAGAAATGCAGATTAGATTATGTAGAGATGCCATTTTTTCCACCCACGAAACTGACATGTCACAAAATGTATAGTTGATGGTCAAGTAAGTAGGTACAGTTATTTGGAGGATACACTGGTAAGTGATAAAAGCTTTAAAAACTTATAAAATAAACGCTTTGACTCAGCAATTCTTCTGTGAATGTGCCAGGACTTAAGTTACAAGGATGATCCTCCGCTATTGTTTATAGTAGGAACATTGGAAACAACCTTGATTACATTTACTATGGGGCTGATTTCACGTAATGGGATATTATGCAGCCATGAAATGTTGCAAAGGAAGACTGTATTAGTGATGTGGAGATGTGTTCATATCTACCATCATCTACCATGTTCAAAACACAGGTTAGCAGACTATGTAGAGCTGCTTCTCACACTGAAAGTGTGTCAGGAGTTTGCATAGCCGTAAGATTAACATGGTACATGTTCCTGGATAAAGGTTCCTGAAAGTATGGAGCGGAAGAAACTAACAATATTCCTTTGAATATTAAGACAGCTATAACGTGGACTAAATGCATGCATTTTTAAAATAACCAAATGAATTTCACGCTTGTGATCTTGTTTTGGTAACTCCATTGATTTATTGGTGAAACTTGGAGCAATTTCAACATAGGATGTAATCCCTTTTGGTAAAGCTAGGAAAAAAAAGAAAGTTGATGTGCTTAAATGTTAACTTATTATCTTTGGGTGCTGGGATTAAAGTTTTACCTGAACATATATTATTTTAATTAAACATTATTTTAAAATTTATATTTAATAGGAAATTTAAAAAGTTCTGTGCATACAAGAAACAGCTCAGCCTTAAAGTTCCATGCTGAGATAACAGGATTGATTCAGTGGTTGTTCCAGGCCCTTTTATCTCTGCTGTGTTCTCTCATTTGTGGGTTCTGGATATCATCTCCTCTTTCTCCTCTTTATTTATTTCTTTTCTGTTATGTAAGTTTGTACATAGCAGTCTAAGTGCTAAGCCTCGTACTTAATCTTCCCTTTCTTGAGATACTAGGCCCAAAATGAAATTCTTAGGATCAGTTTAATGTTGGTCTTAGCTCTTTATTATACATTTTGGGGGTGAAAGAACATTCTTAAGTTTTAAATCTATAAACCTGTCAAATTAAAACAACACATTTAATTTTAATTTGTTATATGTAATAATGAGGAATACATTGTAGAGTGGTTAAACAAAAAACCCAGATTATGCAGACTCTTTGTTTTAGCCAGTAACTTTAACTTTCTATTTCAAATGCCTTTTTAAAAAATTTCTTGAACAAATTTGATTGATTCTTAGGGTACTCCTCTCAGTATTGACGCTTTAATAGTTAACTGTGAACTAAGGAAAAAAACACGTGATGGTGAACTTAGGTTTGTATTTATAACTAGTGCCTTAGACTCTGTAACTCATTTCTTCTAGGCAAATCGACAGACTTACAACTGCAGTTCGGCCAAAATGTCTACTCCAGCAGACAAGGTCTTACGGAAATTTGAGAATAAAATTAATCTAGGTGAGTTTATAAAATACATTTCCTCGCTGGGCTATGAGGACATTCTTCAAAAACCATGAAATGTTATATAAAATTTTATTAGATCAAGAAATGAATATATTCAGTGTTATAGACTGAATAATTGTGCTTAGAGAAAATAAAAACTTCGTAATTTACAAACGGCTTCAAAGAAAGACTAGCTTATACTTTTTTACTTCTGTTTTTTTCTGTTTTATGAACCTATAATTTGAAATGAAACTGAAATTTTTAGAATTAAACTTGAAATTCAGGCAGTTATATTATCTATATTAGTTGTATAAAATAATAAAAGTGTCTGAAATGCAATATATGCAGATATAGTTATTTTGGGGGGATTTCTGGATCTAGATTTCTGTGGCTCAAAAATTACAGCTGTATGGGGCTGGCCCGGTGGCGTGGTGGTTAAGTGAGCACGCTCCGCTTTGGCAGCCTGTGGTCTGGACCAACACACTATTTGTCAAGCCATGCTGTGGCAGTGTCCCATACAAAGTAGAGGAAGATGGGCACGGATGTTAGCCCAGGGCCAATCTTCCTCAGCAAAAAGAGGAGGCTTGGCATCAGATGTTAGCCCAGGACTGCTCTTCCTCACACACACACAAAAAAAATAACAGCTGTAGTGATGAAAGTGATAACACTCGTTATTAAGGAAACACAATTTAGTGCTTACCTTTAAAAACATTAAAAATTAAAAAAAAATTAAAATTTTTTTCATTACTAAAATATATTCTATGTACAATGAAATATTTAGAAAATAAAGAAAGAAGAGGAAAAGTATCCTATTCAGAAAGACTGTTAATATCTTTTTGTCTTACATGTTGTTTACATTGTGGATTTTTTTGTTTTTAGATAAGCTAAATGTTACTGATTCTGTCATAAATAAAGTCACTGAAAAGTCTAGACAAAAGGAAGCAGATATGTAAGTAATATCTTAACTATAAAACATGACTGATAAGGAATAAGTCTAATCAAATTAAGTAGCATCTTGGTCATAATTATTTTGCAAAGGATGTTCCTTTGTATCCTTAAACCAATTCTTTTTTTTTTTTTTTTTTTAGCTTAAATGAGGGTATCCTATGCCTTTGTAAGATGAAAATATTAAATAAATCTTTTTAAGAAATATATGGTAAAACTAGAATCTTGTGAAATTCACAAATGTGCTCATATGAGGGTAACTATTTGTAGATTTCAGCTTAAACTAAAATGTTAGAATATAAAAATACTTCCTTTTTAGAATTTATTAAGAATTGTTCTCTTCCGTGAAATCTTTTTAAAAATTCAAGGAAAGATTTAAAACTAAATAATGATATAACTGAGAGCTGTTTCCATTTACACTTTTGTTCTGAAAACTAATTGTTTCAGATCTGGTTATCTTCTCCTAAATGCTAATAACTCTAAGGCATTAACAATATATTATAGAAAATAACACTAGATCACACAACTAGAAGTGTTAGAACTGAACTTAAAAACCAGTTTTCTTCTGGGTTATTGCTGTGCCCAAGAAATACTAGCTTTTTGAGAATTGTCTTAGTTGTTATTTCATTGAAGTGTCTGTTTGAATCTCTGTGTTTGAATCTTTATTAGTTTAGGTTAGTGTGCTAATTGAGTCACTTAGTGTGTGAGCTGAAGCTAATCAGTGTCTGCATTTTAACACAGAACTCAGTAACTCTCTTGAAATGATAAAAACTTGCATCTTTGTAGAAAAGGACTCTAAAGAGAAAGCCGTGGAAATGACTGCTATACAAATAGAGTCATTAAAAATTTAAGGACGGTATTAACAGACTCCAGCCTAGTTCACTTTACCCCAGCTGCTCGTATTATTTAATGCTTCTGAAATATGGATAGACTTTTTTCCTTACTGCAGATCTGCTCCTTTTGCCCTAGGGAACTGAAGTGCTTATTAAGGGGAAATGAAGGAAGTTTCACTCAGTGATGAAACTATGAAGAGATCAGGAAATCTGTTGTTAAAGAAACTGCCTACCTAGGAATTTCACGGACTGATGTACATTTAGAAACTTTCTATTTTGGCTTCTCTGACTGAATTTGAAATACGTGACCTATCGGTTTTTGGTTTTGGTTAGGTATCGCATCAAAGATAAGGCGGACAGAGCAACTGTGGAACAGGTACAGTTTAAATGTGTGGCAAGCTCTTGTTTGAAGTTAGCATTTCTTTTCTCTTTGAATTGTGGTTTGCTTTCATCCTTCTTGCTTAATGCTAATGTTACCTAACAATTACTCTCGTATAGAGTTACTCCTTATAGTTTTAGAGATCTACATTTTGCTTAGTAATAGGACAAGTAATAGATAAATTAGAGTTATGCCCCCTCCATAGTCCTGTGAAGTCACCATGCAAAACGTTCATCTCCTCTGAGGAAGCAGAGTCGACTGTAAGACCAGGAATCTTTTCTCTTAAACAAGGTCTGCAGGAATTTTGTGAGCTTTCCCAGAAGATAGATCAGGTGTCTGCCACGGAGTGGGGGGTGTGTGTGAGAGACAGAGACAGAGAGAGACGGGTAATGCCTTCAAATTTTCAATTAGAAATCTCTTGGGCCGGCTCCGTGGCTTAGCGGTTAAGTGCACGCGCTCTGATGCTGGCGGCGCCCCGAGGCACCACTTCTCCGTCCAATGCGAGGCCGAGTCCCACGTACAGCAACTAGAAGGATGTGAACCTATGACATACAACTATCTACTGGGGCTTTGGGGGGAAAAAAATGAATAAATAAAATCTTTAAAAAAAGAAATCTCTTAATTGTTTAGAAATTATGCTTGTTTTATTCTTTCTATTCAAGAATGGGGGAAAATCAGCCCCTAATGTTCCGACGTGCAGAATTGTGATTGGATGTTAACACTGGCACAGATTTTTGATGTGAGGAAAGTGATAAGAAGGATCAGAACATTGCTACTGCTGTATATATACCCTTCTCCTCACCCCTACACATGTACACAAACACATTTTGGCATAGTAGCCCCTTTGACCTACAGATCCTTGGTTTAGGACATAAGCACCCCTTCTATTGTCCACCTCAATCCACAAGGGAGTAACACCCAACTTGAGCTCCAGAGCCATGTGCACAGCTGAAGAATTCCACCTTTAGGCAGGAGCAGGGTCTGGGATCTCTGTCTGCATTGTCCTCTAATTTATTTATTTAGTGTGATTTCTTTTTGTGATTGAAAACAAAGTGTGGTCCAGCTGAGAGAGAGGAAGCAGTTTTAATTTTCAAAGACCCTAAAATAACTTAGGGAGGAAATCCTTTCTTTTTCTCTTTCAGAATTAATTTTGCTAAGAGTATATATCCTGAGTCTTAAGCTGTCTTTTTAAAATACATATTTGTCTGTAGGTTTATTTGCTTATTGTATTTCTCTTTCCCTATTTTATTTTTAAGCCATTTTTGTATGTTGCTCCTTCCTGCCCCCCCTGACGTGTCTTCCTACTAGCTTTGCAGAAGCGCAGGTCTCTCCCTGGGTTCCTGTACTCTTCCCCTCTGTTGACCTGTGCAGTGGAGAAGGAGTGGGCAGTTATTGCCTATTCACTCACTTTCCTTTCAGTCTTCTCTGGTTGCAGTGGTTGTAGGTTGGCTTTTAGTCTTTTAGTCTTCCAAGGTTGTTTTGTTTCTGTTAACCTTAGGTTTTTGGTGTGACTGCAGTCACCTCATTGAAGACCCTAAAGTATAGTTAGATTTGGCCACTTTACACTGTCTCACTGCATGGAGCTGGAGGACCCACTGCAAGTGTCCCTTGAAATTGCATGTAAATATGTGGCTGGCTCCGTCTCAGCCGTGGACAGGAGCAGGCTTTAAGTTCGTTGCCTTCTGTTGGTTAAAGAGGACTTTGGGGCTCTTCTTACTCAAGACCGACTGCTCTCACTTTGAAGGAGACCTTTCCCTGGTGGACTCATCTATACCAGGGGTCTACAAACTCTTTCTTTAAAGGGGTAAATAATAAATTCTTTAGGCGTTCCTTAGGCATCACAATTATTGTTTTTTTTAAAAAAAAAACAATGCTTTAAAAGTGTAAAAACCGTTCTTAGCCTGCAGGCTGTAGAAAAACAGGCTTTGGCCTGGATTTGATTCATGAGCCGTAGGGTGCTGACCCCTGGTTTAAAGTTGCTTTTCTAATACACTGGCCACTGGGCACTTGAAATGTGGCTAGTTTCAATTGAGATGTGCTATAAATGTAAATACCCACTTGATTTTAAGACTTAATGTAAAAAACAATGTTAAATATTTCAATAATAATTTTTTATATCGCTTACCTGTTGAAATGATAGTGTTTTAGATGTATTGGATTAAATAAAATATATTAAAATGAATTTCACCTGTTTCTTTTTACTTCTTGTAATGGTGAGTAGAAAATGTGAAATTACGTATATGGTTTGCATTATATTCCTGTTGGCTAACATCTGGATCGGCTAATTGATCTGGAGTCAATTTCTGCTTCTCTTGCACTTGGTAGCCTTTGATTTCCGTGACTGAATGAATTTGTTGGTTTGTTGTCTCTCTGGTTCCTTTGCCCTTCATCTCACATTTTATTTACTAAAAATCAGAGTGAATAAAAACACCATAATAGCGACTCTCATTTGGTCAACCAGGATAGCATAGTACAGTTAAGGTCTTCATTTATTAATTGTCAGGTGCTTCAGTGAGAAATATTTGGTACTGTCTTTCTGAACTTTCTACTTTTTGCATTTCATTTTAGGTGTTGGATCCCAGAACACGAATGATTTTATTCAAGATGTTGACTAGAGGAATTATATCAGAGATAAATGGCTGCATTAGCACAGGAAAAGAAGTGAGCTTTTTTTGGGATGCCTGAATGTTTTCATGTTAGTTTTCTTCTTTCAGATACCAAAGGAAACTAAGGCACTTAGTAAATATATTGTGCCTTTAAAAAGAAAAGAAAAAAACCCCCATACACAAGTCAGGATAATTTAATACAGTGTTTCTGAAGATGGCTTTATTAATATTTATGGCCAGGTGGGAAGTTGTGCACATAACTGTGCCTTTCACTGCCATCACTGTGTTATGTCATTGAGTCCAACTGGTGTGCCCAGCAGTGAGCTTAGATGGTTGGACTCCTGCAGGCCTGAGTCCTGCTCAGACATGTACTGATGGGGCAGGGGTTTATGGTCTAGTTTCTATGAGTCAATGAGTGTTCTTCTTATTTTTTTCTTTATATATGGATATGAAGAAAGACAGACATGGTTTTTAAATTAGCAACTATTCTGTAGGAAGTAGTTCTCAGTGAAATTCAGTTTATAAACCATGACGTATAAGAATGTCTTCAAATATTTTCCACATACTTGAGATATGAAAAGTTTGAAACCGCTTCTCACATGTACTTAAACTGCATTTTACTATATATGTAATTTGGAGATATGTGATATATTTTCTATACCTTTTGGTAGGATGTTTCATATTTTAATTCACATGTTCAAAAGATGATGGTGTTCCTTGTGCATGTTATTTCAGTTCACTTGACTTTTGAAGATAGAATCAAATAGATTGAAAAAGTAAAATACTGTTTGTAGTTACTTAACATGAACTTAATTTTTTTTTGTTTTTGACTTAAAATAGGCTAACGTATACCATGCTAGTACAACAAATGGAGAGAGCAGAGCAATCAAAATTTATAAAACTTCTATTTTGGTGTTCAAAGATCGGGATAAGTATGTAAGTGGGGAATTCAGGTAAGCTCAGATTTTTTTTCCCAGTTGGCTTAATTTCTGTTTCCTAAAAAGTGAAAACTAGAATAATGGAATGGTTGAAATAACAAATATTTTTCTTGTTCAAGATTTCGTCATGGCTATTGTAAAGGAAACCCCAGAAAAATGGTGAAAACTTGGGCAGAGAAAGAAATGAGAAACTTAATCAGGTGACTGGGGGAAGTGTGCTGTGCCCTGCACGTTGGCTCTGCCCTTTCCCTACAGCAGATCCCCCGGGGGGGGGGGGTGGGTTCTGCCCAAAGGCAGGGACTCCATAGGGCCATTCAGTTCCATTAGATCTGCTGGGGTAAGCAGAAGAAACAAATTTCTGGACAAATAGCAGCTAGCTTCTCTTCTCTGTTCTAAGAATCCATTACAGAAGAATTCTGCCACGATTCACATTTATTCAGCAAGGCTGGGTCATTTGAAGAGTCTTGGAAGCTGTGTGAGAATGTTTAGAATTTATGCTGAGGATGATAAGAAGCTGTTACAGGATTATAAGGAGGGAAGAGACACAGGCAGGTGGTGAGAATGATGTGTTACTTTTTAGTAGGTACTGGAGTTTTAGACAAATTTTGTTAGGTCCTAAACTCTTTGCTTATTTTGGTTTCCTTATTTGAGTCCAATTTTGGACACATTTTTGTGATGTTTGTTTGTGCTGACACGTTTGTATCAGGTAAAGGTGGCTTACGTAGCAGAGATCAAGTTTCCACAAAAATTTGAGGGATTTTTTTTTCCCTCTTTTAAATGTTTTAACTTTGTATATGCTGTACATAGGTGACATACACTGGGTATTTTAGTGTTAAGCAAGTACTACTTGTTTTGAAAGTCCTGAAATCTTGTATTCAGTTAGCTGTTGGCTATAAGTCCAACTAATTTTCTTAAGCCCTTTTCAGACTGATCAACTTAAAAGATAATTGCAGACATATCTGCTGTATTTCATCAATGCTAAGGTGCACATTTTTTTCGTAGTTTAACATCTCTGGAATCAGATTGGGTGTTAGAAGCTATGAGATATCATAGTTGAATTGCCAGTGTTTGTCATTCTTGGACGTACATAATGGTGTCACTTAAAAAAGCACTCGTCTTAAAGTTTATGAAATACGATAATAGAGTTGCAAGGCCTTGGTGCTGTTTGCTAAAGGGCAGCATTAATCTTGTGTACTGTAGCTGTTGTAATTTGTTTTAGATGCCATTTCGACTTTTCCTCTGTCCTTTTATCTGTTTTAATATCACAGGCTAAACACAGCCAAGATCCCATGCCCAGAACCTATCCTGCTGAGAAGTCATGTTCTTGTCATGGGTTTCATTGGTAAGGATGACATGTAAGTATGGGGAAGACCTAATAATTATATGCTCAGAACTGTATTTTTAAGTGCTTTAAATTATCCAGTAAATGAATATTTCCCATTTGAATAGCTCCTTTCATCTTGGAATATTTTTATGAATGTTTCCTATTGTATTAGTGCATAGAGTTATTAATTTATTCTACCTTTTTTGTGTGTGTGTGTGAGGAAGATTGGCCCTGAGCTAACATCTGTTGCCAATCCTCCTCTTTCTGGTGAGGAAGATTGGCCCTGGGCTAACATCCTTGCCCGTCTTCCTCTGATTTATATGGGACGCCTGCCACAGCATGGCTTTGATAAGTGGTGCGTAGGTCTGCACCTGGGATCTGAACCTGTGAACCCTGGGCCGCTGAAGCAGAACGCACAAACTTAACCACTATGCCACCAGGCTGGCCCCTGTTCTACCTTTTTAAGTCTCAAAATGATTCAGAATAACAAAGTTCACCCTGTTTTTGAGGAATATCTTATACAGTAAGCTGGGACGGCATGTTTATTGACAACATCTTGGAATGGTATGTCTGTAGTGAACCAAATTGTCCCATGTATGGTTCACATGCTGAGTTGTAGAAGAGAAGTGCATGTATCAATGTAGTGTAAAGCAAGAAAACTTGTTCTGGGTCAGTTTATCTTAGTTGTTCATTTTCTTTTTATTCAAGGCCAGCACCACTCTTGAAAAACATCCAGTTATCAGAATCCAAGGCTCGGGAGTTGTATCTGCAGGTCATTCAGTACATGAGAAGGATGTATCAGGATGCCAGGCTTGTCCATGCAGATCTCAGTGAATTTAACATGCTGTGAGTGTGTTTTGTCCCTTAGGAACCTTGCATACGTCATTTCATGTCCTTTAAAAAAATGAATAAAATCCCAATCAAACAAGTCATACCAAATTCTGAAATTTTGAAGTTGACTTCCACATGGTCGCAATATAGGATGTGTTCCTGCTTTTGGTGACCTTAGTCACAGAATTGACCACTCTGATCATTAACTAAGTTAAAGGACTTGGAAAGTTTTCTCGATTTTAATCTCTGGTTAGTCAAAGTAGCCTCTTCTCCTTACCCACCTTGTTTATTTTATTAGTTATTTCTCTTGCTCTTAAAATGGAACTTTTTAAACAAAAATGTAGGCAAGTAGTAGTATCCAGTAGTCCCTGCCGGTCTGGCCCTTACAGTACCCAAGTGGAGGTGTGCACATCCCTGATGCTTCTCATGGTCCCTGCCTGTCTGGCCCTCACACTACCCGAGTGGAGGTGTGCACATCCCTGATGCTTCTCATAGTCCCCACCCGTCTGGCCCACAGGTACCACAGTGGAGGTGTGCACATCATTGACGTTTCTCAGTCCGTGGAACATGACCACCCACACGCCTTGGAGTTCTTGAGAAAAGATTGTGCCAATGTCAACGGTGAGCGGAAGTTGGAATTTCCTACCACCTTGTTTGTATTTCTTGGTTCTGTACTCTGTTAAGCTGTTGATGTAAAATCTTGGCACTAAATTGTCCGATGCAGTGATAACTTATACCATTTACTGGGAGATGGTATATTTTTCTCTTCATTTCTCTGTAAAGTAGTTGGAATAATAACCTTTTCCATTGTAAAGCTGTCATTAACATTTTCCTTCTGCAGATTTCTTTTTGAAGCACGGTGTTGCTGTGATGACTGTGCGGGAGCTCTTTGAATTTGTCACAGATCCCTCAATTACACGTGAGAACATGGATGCTTATCTCTCAAAGGTGAGATGGGGCAAGGAAGGGAAAGAATAGAAAACAACAGTAGTAGTTTGCGTTTAGGTGACACTTCTGAGGGTCTCAAATTGCTTAGCATAATATTTGTTCATTTTGACAGCTTCCTGAGACCTTTTCCTTCTGATTTCACAGATGGGGAACCAAAAGTATAGTAAAAAGCCAATGGTAAAGCCAAGTTTCTTGACTTTAATCATCGGGCAGGATCCACAGAACTTTTTCATCCTGTAAAACAGAAACTCTGTAGGCATTTGTCTTGACATGAGTACAGCCATGTTTGGCCGCTCCATTGACCTACAGCCACCAGCACAAAAA